TGATCGATATAGAGAAAGCCCAGACTGGTTCATGCCTGGAAAAGCTCTCTGCCCTTGATTTCACAAAACATATATTTAAAAAAAATACTTTGCTTTTTAAAATTAAAAACCATAATGATTGAGTAGGTTCTTATTTGAAAGGCTCTATTTTCACATTTATAAACGCTATTTATGGGACCATTCACATTTTAATAGGCTGCTGTGTAGAGTAGGTGGCCAGCAATACTGTGGGAGGACAGAAAAATCTGGAGATGTGTGAGGGACATCTCCGAGCACAATCTAACTAGTCTCATGGATTCCATAAAAGCTCTGCCATCCTGGAACAAAAGGAAACCAAGCAACAGGGCACAGTAGCAACTTGCTGGGCTGTAAGATCTACTACACCTGGTCATTTGGCACCATGGATCACCCTCTCGAGACACAGAACACAGAAGCCAGGTACTCTGTTCTACACATTCATAGAGGAACAGGCGGTGGGTCACCAGCAAGCCTTATCTCTTTGCCTTTTCCCTCTTCTTCTTTTTTTTCTTTACTTTTAAAAGTATTTAGAGGATGATTTGAGGGCAGCAGTCATAAAATGAGTCAATTTCATGTGTAATTTACTCATGATAGCCACCTGTCCTTAAATAAATCTTTTCTGGATTGAAATAAAATAAATCAAATTACTAAAGGAAAAGTGCAAGACCTGCCCCACTGTGCTAATTCTATTCTATACCTAAGGACCCAGGAGCTAGTGACAACTCCAAGAGACATCTAGAAAGCTACTGAAGTCATGCAGCAAGATGACTACATCCTGAATACAAAAGCAAGTGTCAAGGTCTAAGCCTATGGTGATGGCTAATAAAGATGAGGAAGGGTCAGAGAGGAGCAAGATGAGAAGTAAAGGGAGATGGCAAAGAAGCATGAAAGTTGAATGTTGTGGAAGGCAAGGAAGGGAATTTTCAAGGAAGAGGCAATAATAGCCTAAAATTCTACTATCAAAGAAAAATCATGGTAAGTAGAAAATACAAAGTAAGATGTAAGAAGTAGTCTAATACCAAACAAATAAGTCTAAATACACTACTAAATAAAATAAATGTAACTGGACTAAACATTCGTTAAAGAAATAGACAGTCTCAGGTCAAAATACTTGCAAAGCATCCATATGCCACATAACTACATTTAAAGGCTAAAGCTTAAAAAAAAATAAAAGTAAAAAAAATAAAGTCTAAAGCTTAAATTTTAAGATATTAAAAGGCTGGAAGTAACAGGAATATATATACACCGTATGTAATATATGTCATTAAATACCATATATTAAATACTAATCTAAACAAATAAATAGGGGATCCCTGGGTGGCTCAATGGTTTGGCGCCTGCCTTTGGCCCAGGGTGCGATCCTGGAGTCCCAGGATCAAGTCCTGTGTCGGGCTCCCGGCATGGAGCCTGCTTCTCCCTCCTCCTGTGTCTCTGCCCTGCCCCGCATGTCTATCATGAATGAATGAATGAATGAATGAATGAATAAATAAATAAATAAATAAATATTTTTAAAAATAAATAAATAAATAAATAAATACTGTGAGACAAAGGAGATTTTTAAAGCCAAAAGAAATATGATAAAGAGGATCATTTTCTTAATCATAATCACTTCACCAGTAAGATGGAGTAATTCTAAATCTGAGAGCTCATAACCAGGTAGTCTCAACACTTACAAAGCAGGATGTGACATAATTACAAGAAAAAAACGGACAGATCTACGGTTACAGAGAATGAATAATCCTTAGACCTCAGGAACTGAGCAAGGAGATAAACAAGAATGCTAAGCATGTGAAAACAGGAATGACATAATTAACATTTCTTATCTATTGGGCATTTATAGAACTCTACTCCCAACATTTAGAGACTCATTTTCTCTACAAAAACCTAACATATTATATTAGCCCACAAAGAAGTCTCCACAGATACCAAAGAACCAAAAATCTTAGAGAGCACGGCGCTTTGTTTTTAAAGTAACATTCGGTGAACAAAAAGGAACTTCTTGGAATTTAAAAAAGGCACCAGAGGAAAAAACTCAGCAGGATGTGCAGAAGATAAACCCCGAAGAAGCATCCAGCAAGTAGAACAAGAAAGACAAAGAAATAGAAAATAGGAGAGAAACGATAAGACTATGAGAGCATGAGGGTGGTAGCTCCATCAGTCTCCAAAAAAGGGGATTCCAAATAGAGAAAACACATGTTTGGAAACAAAACAAAACAAAACAAAACCAGAGACCAAGTCGAGCTGAAAGCCTGTGACTTGGCAGACAGCCGTGCTAAGGCCCCGGGGCCGCCGGGCTGCCTGCCCGCACAGGCCAAGCTGCAAACCTCTAGCTCGTGGGCTCTGGAAGCCCAGTCCCCGGACCACATCCCTGCTGGGCATCCTGGGGCCACCCTGGGCCACGCTGGGCCCCAACTGGGTGCCCCATGTCCCCAGGAAACCCTTGTGACCTGCCCTCTCTGACTTCTCAGTAGAGCCTCTTCAAACTGCCGAGGAACCAAACTCAGACTCTGACCCAAAGGGTCCATTCAGCTTCTTGGTCCAGCAGATCCTGTTCTTTCGTCACAGTGCCGGGGTCAAGCTGAATTTCTGAAGTTTTGGGGTACATAAATGATAGAGCTTCCCAGGAAACCAGGACTCGGTTAACAAAAGTCAGCAGGCTGGTCGCTCCGGGAAGAAGCGAGACATGTGATGGGGCAGGAAGCGAGGGTTCAGGGTGGCCAGCAGGGCTCTAGGGCCTTAGGGCATAGCCACGTGGATGTGGTGTCTTCTGGGTTATTGTTATTGAACTTGCACATGGAGATTTTTTTTTTTTACTATTTTTTTTTTTTTATTTGAGAGAGAGTGTGAGCAGTGGGGAGGGGCAGGGAGAGAGGGACAAGCAGACTCCCGGCTGAGCAGGGAGACCAACGTGGGGCTCCAACCCAGGACCCTGGGATCATGACCTGAGCCATAGGCAGATGCCTAACTGAGCCCCCCAGGTGCCCCCCCACCCCCGCACATATAGATTTAATAGGTTTTCATGGCTTAGGAGCTATCCAAACCTTAAAAAAAAAAAAAAAAAAAAAAAAAAAAAAAAAGCATGACTGGGTTGAGTTTATCCCAGTGTATATACTTGGACACCAGAAAATCCAGCGCGGCAAGCATGCGAGTATGATGAGCAACTCCCTGGTTTTGCTAAGGAGAGGTCACATCCTTCCAGGGCACTCCTATGGGGCAGTGGAGGGAGACCAGTGCCACGTCGAGCTCCGAGGCCAGTGAGCAGGTGCAGCAGGTCGGATCGTCCTCCCCACCTGGAGCACCCCTCCTTCTCCAGCGGTCACACCTGGGCAGCAGAATTCAAGGAGAACTGACCTGTCTGGGGGCTCAGTGGGCTCCTAGAAACATCCCACCGCTCTGTTGTCCCTGAAGGCAACCGACCCCAGGAAGGGGCCTCTCCTCCAGTCTGGGGGGCCCAGCACCAGGGGACGACGTGACCGAGAGGTCAACCTTGCTCCTCCCTTTTGCAGCCAGTGCCCCAGATGAGGCTCCATCCCTTTGGGACTTGCGGCCCAGCAAGCCCCCCAGGAGGCGTTTCAGTGCACACACACCCCCCCCCCCCCCCCCCGCGCACTCGCAGGAGGCCTGGGCCTTCCCCTCTCCCCAAGGGGCTGGGACAGAAGTGCGACATTTGGTCCGTGCCCATCTGAAAAGAGGATGATGTCCAGGTTGTGTGAGGCCACCGCCAAGGTCAGGAGCCTGGCACCGGGGTCCAGAGGGCACCACTGCCCCCCCACCCGGCCTTGCCAGGTGCGGGGCTGCGCTGAGGCTGGACAGACGCCGGGCGAGCCTTGGACAGCTCGCAGCAGGAGAGGAAAGGGGACAGGTGTAAGGGAGAAGTGGCTGAGAGGGAGGATGCAGGAGTACAGAAATCCCCTATACGATTTTAAATAAAAACTGCTAAAATGAAAGGAAGAAAAGGCAAGCAAGCGAGCAAGCGAGCTTCGCCACTGTAATCTGAATAGATTAAAGCGACAGTCAACCAGGCTTCAGGAGACCTGGAGGTAGGAGAAGGGACAGGAGAATCTTAACCAGAGAGGAGAATGACGGGCGGGGGGCGGGGGGGGGGGAATCAAGGACACAGGGCACAAGTGGGCCTTGGAAACCATAAGAAAGAAAGAAAACTGGTGGAAATGGAATTGAAAGGAGAGAGTTTGAGCACAACGAAGACAGGTCCAGTTTTTTGAGGTCCTTGATGAGGACAGCTGGGGGGCCCAGATCCAGATGGGAGTGAGGGGGGCTGAGAAGAGCCAGCAGGCAGCCTGCACCCCCGGTTCCCCGTCAGTGAAATGCAGACCTCGCCACCCACTAATAATCGCACAAGTTACACATAGTAACGCTTAGTTGTATATTTACACGATAAAAGTAAGAGACCTTTGCCTTCGTACTAGCCTGCATCTATATAAAGTCTAACTGGCCTTAGGACTATTTTTTTTTTTAATCAGTATTTTGAGAAAATAAGTACCACGAGCTACAATAGTCTCAAAAGAACACTGAGCGAAAATATCTTCTAAATATCATACCATAACTTTGCAAAAGTCGTTTTAAAAAGAAGCTTTGGTAAGATATTTCATATGGCATAGTGTGTACACTTATGTCCCTGAATTTTCACAAATTAAATGTTAAAGTACATGTGATTGGACGGGCAAATTGGAGGAAATAAATAATTTAGAAATGGGCCCAGTACAAACTAATTTTGACCACAAGATTTACTGGATTTTTTTTTAAATTAATTGTGCTAAATTAGTTACTGACCTGAGCTACTCAAATATTTGATTTCAGGTTCATCCAAGCTTACAATTACATTTATAAAATTATTAAATGTATTTTTACGAGGCATTTTGCATTTGGTTTCACTAGATTCGTTCGTACTGCACATCTAGAAATTTAATAGTTCAATGTAATCTATGCTAAATTAATAAAAGAAAACTTGATTCCACATTTACCCTGGTAAAGAGAGGATCTAAGCCATTTGGAGCAGTGGTTGGACGAAATCTTCTCCTTCTCCATGATTCAAGTCTATTTTCCCTTGTGATTTTTCCACTGGGGGGAGGAGGTGGAGGAGGAATAGGCATCATGTAATTGTTAATGTTTGGAAGTTGAGAGCGATTCACTCCCTGTGCATTGTCCATGGAGTTCTTGAACTTCATCGCTGCCTTCTTGCCCTGTAATCACATTTCAGGACATAACCACCAGTAAAACAGAAGCAGTGACCAAGGTGACCCGAGATTAAAGACAAGACGGTATGATTTACGTTGCACGTAAATACAACTGACATTGATAGGCAGACTCAAAACACTTCATTTGTTTTATCGAAAAATGCATTTTGTAATATCCATAGAAAGTTAAATTTCCATGACTCTCTAACGTCATTTAAGTATATTTTTAAGCCAAATATACAGTGATTGCATTTTTATAGTATTTTGGGATTTTTCCTCAATAATCCATCATATCTATGGAGCCTGGTACAATTAAACAATTTAAAATCGAGGAGTTGGCAAGTATCGTACTTTGAGGTTGGGTTGGATAGTCCATTTAACAATGGGGTGTTAATACTTTTTTTCGTATTGATTTCACCTATCCAGGGGTTATAATATTCCCTGATAATATAATATCAAAGAACCAAATGTAGACTCTGACCCAAAGACACTATTTAGCTTATTTTCTCCTAGAAATCCAACTTGTGGGAATAAATTCTACCAAAATAACTGCACAATACATTGATGTAAATGTGTAAAAGAATACACACACACACACACACACACACACAACGAATTTAGTTGAACCATCAAGTCCATCAATAAGAGAACACTTAACTAAAATTTTCTTTGTCTTTGTAACAGATTCTCACCAGGCTCCAACAAGAATTGTATGAATCTATTCATCCTGACATAAAAAGGTCTATGTAATGTGATCCCATATTTCTTTTAAATGCATTTTTATGTGGATTTTGATAAAATCAGGGAGGATAGGAAGACAGTAAATTTAGGACTTGGATTATTGGGAGATATCATTTTCTATCTCATATATCTTTGTATTATTTGGAAAAAAAATGTATCTTTGTATTAATCCGAAAGTAAAGATCACCAAGGGTGTAATCAATAATTATATCACATTTTTTTCAAATATATTTGAGTCTTTGAATTTTCATAAATTGGTCATTTTTGTGCATCTGAGGTAGTTTTCAAACTTGAAGGCATCTTTGATCACTATTACCCATTTTATACCAGTTTTTTTTTCCAGCCAATTTAGTCTTTGAGATACTTATATATAGTGAAATTTAGTGTTAAGAAAGGGGAGTCAGTGCTCGCTTCGGCAGCACATATACTAAAAAAAGAAAGGGGAGTCATTCTCCAAACATTTCTCACTACTAAATAAGTAAAAGCAGGATAAATAAAGGCATGTATAGTCCATATTTTGATGGAAAACACCACTTGTGAACAGAAAGGGATTTAAATAGATATTCACCAATGAATTTAGAATTGTTAAAATAGGTGATATTGAAGGTGCTATTTATGTTCTCATTTTTCTTTTCTTACATTTTCTATCTTTTTCTGTGATGATGTGCATTGATATTATAATAACAAATATAAATCAAGTGGAAATAATAAGGACAATAAATTCAATGAATCCAGAACTTTGGGGACTTGGTATTTTTTAAAATGATTATTTCTAAGTAGTAATTGGTCCATTGTATGCTTTATTTGGAAATGGTTTAATAAATTTTTTTTAAAATTAGCATGCCATTCCTTACCTTGCTTCTTTAGCCCACAGTGTCTTGGACATCTTTCCATGCTGGTAAAAATAAGTTTACCTTATTTTTTTTTGTTTAACATACTTTAATAAACTATAATGTTTTTAAACAACATCCTATTAAATTTTAGGTGTGTTCAAATTTAGGTGTGTTCACTATTACAAATATTATAATACAGAGTATTCTTGAATCTATTCCTTTTCACATATTTCTAAAATAAATTCCTATATATAAAAATGCTTGAGCATGGTCATTTAAAACATTGATAGATATTCCCACATTGCCTTCACAAATAGTTTTATCAGTTTCTATGCCATCAATAATGTGTGAGAAACTCTCCTTGTAAGGATAATCATTTTCAATCAAGTCATGATTTTTACTCAGTTGCATCTTAACCACCCTGTTTTTGACCCGATTGCTTTTGCCTAAATCGAAGACCCTCACTCCTGATACTTAGAAACTTGCTTATGTCTGTTGTCCCTTCAAACAATTCCCAGGTGTATAACTTTTACTGTTTTAAGAAAGCAGCAAGAATTTAGTGGGTACTCACTGCACACTCAGCAATCATGAAGACTACTAGTCTTTAGCAATTTCTTGTCTGATTTGATATTAAATCATCTTCATCATCGATGCCATGGAAAAAAATTACACATATTCTGGCAGTTTAGTTTGCCTATGTACATATAAGCTTCAATAAGTTAGAGACTTTTGTCTGCCTTGATCGTTGATAAATCACTAATGCCTAGAGCACTATCTTGTCCATACTAAGTGCCCAATAAATATTTACTGAATGAAAAGTGTAACTTTAACTAGTTTAAATTAACATGGAATTGATCTTGTCAGCCTGAGTAAGCTACTCTTAAGTGCCTATCCCTCAATCACTCATATCCCAAAACTTGAAAACAGGCAAATAAAAGACCCTATGCAGATTTAACTAATAAATCCATCCAATGGCTCAGAGCAGAATGGGAAAATCAGCTGAAGGAAAAAAAAAATCTCTCCCTAGCCTGCAGAACTTGAATATTACTTGATTGGTAGCATTTACAAATCTAATAGGAAAAAGCATCTATCAAAGCAGAGGAGCTTAGAAAAAATCTATAATCACCTTGGCAAATGTGCAAAGTACCCATCCAAGTACTGTCTAGGGGAGAGAAAATCCCACTCATTGGACTTCAAATATTTCCAGTCCTAATGGCAAAGTTATCCCTGGAAGATACATAGGGTTTTAGCCAAAGATCTTTGAGTTTTCTGGTACCTTTGGCAAGCCCATTCCCAAGATGAGATAGGTACATCAAGCCATTTTAACCTGATTCCATTCCCCTATATGCCCTCATTCTGATTCCATGCTCACTAGGCAACCTTCTCATTGTGATCTGGCTTCTCATGTAGGTCAGTCTACAGAGGGATAGTGTACTGCTTCTACAGCTTTGATTAGTTGATATCTGGTGAATTAATGGCCCCCTGATTATGAGTTGGCTGATGATTTTAGTTTACCATCTGGATCAAAACAAGCCGGTACCGTGTCATTTTCATTAACTTGAGACAATCTTTCAGGACCTGACTGTTCCTGTACACTGGGTGAAAGAGGAAATCTCTAGGCTTTCAGTGTGGACACCAGATCCTAGCGTGTCTGCCTAATTGACTTATGACCCCACAAGCTTCTTCCTGACCCTAAGCACATGTCCCTAAACAAAGCACTACGACTCTTGGCTTAATTTTTCCTGCTTTCTAGGAAGCTACTACTAAATTAAGGTTTGTGAAAAGTGCTTCATAAGCTGAAAAGCATATTAAGTGGATAAAATATTACTTTTAGGGTTATATTTATACTCTTATTATGAAACAATCATTTATTTGCCTGGATTAATTTCTTAGTATCGAGATTATCTATCCATCAGCTCTAGATAAAAAAAAATACCTTAATTTCAAAAACAAAGAAAAAAATATCAACTTCATATGTCTTACGTTTCCTAATAAGAAATGGAACTAAATTCACCCATGTGAATACAGTGACAATTATTCTCCTGACACGGGTTCTTTCTTATGCTGGCAAACATTTCTTCTTCATGTTTGAAATACAAACAATACCCTCCCTTATTACTTAATGTCCTAATTATTCCTGCCTGTTTAAGCAACTCCTATTTTATGTTTACCATGACCCCCTCTATTAAAATAAGTTAAAATTACCAGGGACACAACCTTGAAAAGGAAGCAACGTCAAGCTTCTATGTGTGATTGATTCACCATTTTTTAAAGACGGACGTTCTTTTTCTTCTATATCCAACCTTCTCCAGAGTCAAACTTGAAGCAATTTCATACACTGATGGTAAAGTAAGTCAGCATGCAAATGCAAGCCTATTCTTGGAAAGTTTCATTTTCTAGGTTTCATGCATTTAAAATTTAGAATCAGTCAACACTGGGTCTATTCTGATAGAAGTCATGTCTGGCTATAAAGAGTTTCTCTTTGTATGACCATTCAAATTAATGAAAGATAATCTATATTATTACAAATCTATTCCTTACTCATTCTGCTTAATTGCACAGAAATTATAGGCCTTCCAGTTTAAGGAAGATATAATTAAACAGAAGTACATAGTAAATGCTTAGTAAGTGCACAGTACAAATTTCACTGAGTAGATTAATTGAATCTTGCGTCTGAAAACCTGTGATAATCTAATATTCTAATAAAGAATAAAAAGATATTTCTTGAAAAAGTAACATTTACCCCAATGGGAAATGGAGCTTCATTTTCCAGCAATGAGGTTTTCGATCTGGTCCCCGGAGTTATCTTTGGAACAGTTCCTAGGGCAGGATTACTGGGAAGAGGCTTTAATCGAATTGGAAGCTGCATATTTCCTGGGGCAGTGTATGGTCGAGGGGCTGTCTAGACAATTAAGGAAAAAAATTCCATTTAAATTAGTATCTTGACATGTTTCCAGAACCAATTAATAACCCAACAAATTGCCTAGAGTAATTAATGGTGCCTTTTTACTGAACAGATTAAACTTTAATTATGTCCTTCCATTATACATAGCCTTATGACCCAAAGTATTTGTTAAAACATATGGCGTGGAAGTCCTCTACATAACTAAATGCCACAATTATAGAGTATTCTAGACAAAGATGTTCTCTGCTAGGTCCCTGCATTTTACCCACTTTGTAAACTTGCTGTCAATACCTAATATATTCAGTGCGTAAAATGGCTTTGCTCAATTAAATGGTACCTTGAATAATGTTTCTATTTTAGAGATCTAAAGGGATATGATTGGAATGGACTCATTTCCGTTTAAATGTTTTCAACACAAACTACTGCAAGTCCTTTACATCTCCAGAATGGTGCTGAAATAAAAGCAGACAATATGATTCAAAAAGAGGAAAGGCGGATGCTTAACTATAATGCATTATCATTTATTCGACTTCTCCCTTAAAACACCAGGAAAGTAAAAATTTAAAAACAGTCACTGGCAACTGGAAAACACTGTGTGAAAATGGAGATTTTTCCATTTGCTCCTCTTCTCTGCCTTCTCTGCCCTGCTCTGCCCTCCGGGGGTCATTGCTTTATGGAATCCAGAGATTCCAGTTGAATTTAGCCAATGAAAGGCCCTGGCAAGAGATCAGAAGATAAGAGGCAAGAGGCTGGGGTCTTCATTCTCCTGGACCCTTCCCACCCAGGTTGGGATGGGTCATCTGGGTCCCTCCCCCGAGTCCGCCGCTCCACTCAGGCAGTCATCTCCTTGCTTGTAAGCACTGCTGGTGCTGGTACCCAGTCCTTCCCTCTCCCTCTCCTCCCTCTGGGGCCTATGCACCATTTCCCAGGGTGCTGACCCCAACATGCTTGACATCCCCAGTTGGTTTTCCTTAACCCTGCTGGCATCTTTGTAAATAGTTTCTTTATTAAACTCTTCCTAATTACCCTATTTGTGTGAGCCATCTGTTTCCTGCTGAGACCCTGACTGATGCATTTTCTAATCAAGAATGTACTGCAGAGAATACCAAAAGTACCAGTATGGAGCATTAGGAATGCCGTTGGTGGCACGGATAGGACACTGTGAGTTTAGTATAAAGATCAGCGATGTCTCAAGAAGAAAAACCAACGCTTTTGGCCCTGTTGTTCGATCACAACAAAAAAAGTTGGAGACCTGTTAAGGATAATACATGTACAGTTGGGTAAGAGGGTGAGACGGACGGCATACAAACGACTCATGAATAAGGCTTAATGAACTGACTCAAGAACAGTGAAGAACAAATGTTCAACTCTGGAAAAGTAGTGTGCAAATCCATAAAAGAATGATAGGGCAGCTCCAACCACCAGAAACTGGGCTCGGTGCTAGCTTGCCAAGCACGTCATGTGCCGTTAAATGTCTGATTTTGTTACGTCAACATTCACTGGGTTCCAACTATAGGCACTGGGGACACTAAAAAGTAACTTTTAACTTAGTGGCAATGCAAGATGACTAGTGCCAGATACACCCCACAGATACGGTGACAGAGGCAACAGCAATAACAGAGTATCTGAGACCCAACAGAACTTAGAACTGAATGTTACTTGGAATAAACCAATGAGATGAGGAAAATTCAGGTTTCCACAGAAGCATTTTATCCAGATGTATAAGCAAGAGAAGAAAACGGACGAGCAGGGAAGAAGGATGATAAATCTGAACATCCAGGTAGGTAGAAAGCCAGGTGTGAGACAGACATGGGAAGGGTAGCAAAAATACTATCCCCCAATATCTGCTTTTCTTTCTTCACCAGTAGCAGAATTTTTATCAGGGAACAGGCCATCATAAATCAAGACTGTATTTCCCAGCGTCTCTTGCAACTCTGTATAATATATGCCTCCGTTTCGGCCAATAAGATGTGAGTGGAAGTGATGCATGAAACCTCCAGATCGTGGCTTTAGAAGACGTGTACCGCCACGTGCCCTTTACCCCCTTCCCTGAAATACCTGCATAGTGGACTGCCTGCCACCTTGGCTTACGTAAATGAAGACAACACGGCACGTTTGGCAGATCAAGGACACACCAGAAGTCTGAGCTTTTGATGACTGCATAGAGTAGAGATGAGCACACCTGCTTAGGTTCGCGTAACGCATTGGGGTGGGGAGAGCATCCTTTGGTTTAAGACACTGTCATTTTGGGTCTCTGCGCACAAGCCTATTTCATGCCCAACAGAGAAAGCCAAGTGGATTGAGCGAGGCTACTTTTGATTTAAAGAAACAGGACACAAGGCTCTATGAGCCCAAATGTCTTAAAACCCACAAAGATAACTCAAAGTGGGGGTTTCCGAACGAGGGACTCAGATCGCCCAAAAGAATTCTTTTGAACTCCATAAAACAAATATGCCTAAGACTCTCACCTGTCAAATAATTCAACGGAACACACATACATTGAAAATCTAATGAAGGAATTCAAGAAATCATGTTAGTAGAAACTAGAGTATGATCTATTGGCTTCTGTGCTCTAAATTTTATTTCCCACATTTGCATACAGATATCATTCAGTTAGATGAATGTGGCAGTCAAATGTTCAACTGATTACATTTATCTCTAAAAACAAATTTGCACCATTCAACTAACAGCTGTGAGCTACAAACTGTTGTAGTTCACATCAGAAGCCACCTTAAATTTGCTATATTTTAAACCGCTCGTAATAGATTTTCTTGGAATAAATACGGCACCGTAGCTTAGCATCTTCAAAACTGTGCCAGAATGAGAAGCGGAATCGACTACCTGGTGATTACCCAGCTTAGCTGAGCGTTTCTAATTCTTAGGAGACGATCTCTGGGGGTGAATTTTCCGAGCTTGTGCAGAATTGGTTGAATGGCTTTCCACCGTTTTAACGGGAATGGTGCAGCTAAATGCCTACATGCTACTCTGAAGGCTTAGGTTCAATTAGTGACCAAGTGCAATAACTATTCAATCCCGGATGCTCTCTTTCTATATTCAAGAAAGTTAAAAGAAAAATTGATGGCAATATCCCAAGAGGATTATCATCTCCCTCTCAGTGGCCCGTGGAGGTCAGGAGTCAAATTGAAAGGCTATGTATCCAGGTTGGGAGAACGAAGAGGAAGATTTGAATTTCTGTAAAATGGGAACTCCAATTCCAAGAGCATAATAGGCATCCCTTACGGTGCGGAAGCACCAGAGGGGGTGACCAAGTGAAGAATCGTGGCTTCCCAGATAGAAAGGCTTCTGAAGTGCTGGTGTCAGTGTTTCCTGTAATTTTTAAATTACTTTCTCGCTCCTGCCACATTAAGATCTCCTGGATGTATCATAAACTACTTATTGAGGGTGTTCAGCTGGAAAATTGAAAAGAAAGCCTTTCAAGGGTTTTTCCTCTCTGAAACAGGTGGGAAGATAGAAAACAGCACTTGATTGTTTCTTTTGTTTCAACCAGGTTAAGCTTCTGAGCGCCTAGTGAATTTGCCATCCAAGAAAAGAATTATTTGTGCACGTATACATTTAAACGAAGCTTGGAAATATGGTAACAACAAAGGGAAAAGCGTTGCTTTTTCAGAACTTGAGCTGTTCATCGGGAGATGTCAAAACATATTTACCTTTGAAAGATGTCAGAGCTTAACACTATACGAGATGAACCTACTTCAACAATCTGTGAAAGCTTTGTAATTTCTCTATAAATATTGTGCAAGCCCCAAAAATGTTCATGCTAACAAGGACACGTATTAGGCCACACAAAGCAAGAATAAAGATGTAATAATCAAGCAATCCATTTATGACTTAATAAACCATCAACCTCCGGCAAGTATCCTGCAAACCTTTTCCCGTAAGTCTATTGTTTCAAGCTGCCTCGCCTTCCTTCAAACAAATCCCATCTCTGGATGGTAAATGAATCGAACTGGAATGCGATGTCGCCGTGCGATTTCTTTAAACAGAATCTCTGTACTTTTAACTGTGTTTATGTTAGAGTATGCACACGTGCTTTCGATAAAAGAAACACAAATATAAGTGTCTGGCCCAATATGCTATACAGCGTGATTGAGTTTTCGTGACAGATAAGGTGAGAGGTGGGGGGGAGAGCCAGGTAAACTCCAGAGGTCAGAAAACATAAAACATTCATGGAACAACGAGTGATTCGATCTTGCGGAGTTGAGGGTGCTAAAGGGTGATCATGAGAGGAAATGCTGGGCTGGTTAAACTGACACCATGCGGCGTAGGGTCTTACAATGTCAGATGAAAGAGTCTAGGTCTTTCTAAAAATGTCACAGAGCCAGTTGGGGTAAGTGACAAGTAATCTGCACTTTAAGGAAACTCCTCTAGCAGGAGCAAGCAAAAGGGACTTGCCAGGGGCCACACTGATTGAAAGTGGAACGTTCAGTAACGACAGTTGACCAGGTCCAAGCCCACGTCGTCAGGATTCAGAATTACACGGACGAGGACTCAGAATTCTTTCTGGGAGGAATGAGAAATTACATACTGATTAGTGGGAATGTTACAGGACAGAGTGTTTAGTATGACTCACCAGTGTTACTGGACTGGAATGTCCTTCGTCAACCACAACACTGTGGCCACGGTTAGTCTTTGGGCCCGCCGGGGGGTGGGGAGACAGGACCGGCATGGTATCTTCTATAGCCCATCTTGCAGGCTCCCCCTGGAATCAGAAAGTGATTTAACCAATTGCTGCATAATCAGTCATCGAGGGTAGGTTCCTGCCTGGCAGGTCAGGAGATGCTCTATCGCTGGAGAAGTCCTCTCCGCTACCTTCAAGTGTTCCTCCCGAGGCCTAGCAGGACAGTCAGAAAAGGTTTGCAGCGCTGGGGCCCGGGTGTGGTATTGAGAGGAAGCAACCGCAGTCCGCGCCTTGGAAACAGAGCTGGACTCAGGCAGACACAGCTACAGGTGCACTGTATCCTGAGCGTCAGCCACCCTATCCGTTAACCGGCTTTAAGCAGGTCGCGACAAGAAGCACGATGCTCCTCCCAGCTCTGATCAGGAAAGGCTACCAGAAACTTACTCTTCTACCTTAAAAAAAAAATTAATAATTAAATCATGCCCCAAGCCAAAGGGTTGCCCATTTTATCAAAGGAACCTAAAATCATAGGCCTTTCAACCAAATGCTGCTCTAAAGCGAGAAGTGTTACAAACAAACATCCTGCAGGGAGTAACCGGGGCGCGTGTGGGGAACTCCTGCCGGTGCTGGCATCGGGGTGCAACCCCCCCGCCCCCCGCCCCCCGGGGTTGGCATCTGTTCCCCGCGCCTTCTTACCCAACACTTCAGCGGTAAGCTAATGAATCTGTGACTCGGTCCTTGATGTGGGACGACATGGGCAAAGTTGCATTAACCACAAATCCCTACACGCCAACTTTTCTGATCTGGAAAAACTGACCTCTCTGCTGATTTAACGACACTTTTGTCACAAGATTATCTTTGGGCCAGGATGAAACCGACGGATGTGAGGCCACCCGGCAAGAGGGAAAAAGTACCGCCTTCCATGGCAGGTGGTTCTCGGGGAGCTTAGCAAATATTCCTCAGTTTGTGCCATGTGTCGGGGGCCCCATATTTGTAATATGACGCGGAGGATGAAGAATAATCTCTGAATCTGAATGGCCGGAGAAAGTGAATACAACCGCCAGCCTGCAGGGGAACCTCTCAGACTTGCTTAATTGAGTCTCTCGTCTCCCGATGCAAATGTATAGGTTCCATAAGTTCACTTCAAAGGAGGGATATCGAATACAAAAATAAAAAAATTTTTTTTTAAACACCTTGCACAGAGTCTCTAAATCTTATGCTGCTGTTTGCCCAGGTAGATCTCTCCTACCATCTATTTCAAGGGTCGTGTTCGCATGGAAATGTGCCATTGGATAATTCTTATAATGCCATCTTCCATCCCACTGGCAACATCCCCATCTATCGTCAGCGTTTAAGACACAAAACAAAAATCCTTTGGCCTCTGTCACATCAATCGAGAAGAGACAAAAGCAAAATTGTAAACTTGAAAAGAATGGTCCCATGTCTCCGTTGATAGGTTTCTACCTTCTAAAATTTATTTTGCAGAACAAGCTCCTACTTTGCCGTGATCTTCTGAGTGATGGTGGCCGACGTACAGTCTTGGTGAGACCATTACCTGACTTCAGCTATGAGTTATTCAAAAGTAGAGCGCCTCGGAAAGCTTCAATGATAGTATCATTGACTTTTTTTTTAAGATTTTATTTATTTATTCATGAGAGACACGGAGAGAGAGGCAGAGACCCAGGCAGAGGGTGAAGCAGGCTCCCTGCAAGGAGCCCGATGCGGGACTCAAACCCGGGACCCCGGGGTCATGCCCTGAGCTGAACGCAGATGCTCCACCACTGAGCCGCACCCCCCCCCCAGGAGCCCCAGCACCACTGACTTTTAAAATCATAAAATATTATTAAGTAAAAGAGAATTACATAGCTCCTTACCTTAAATCTCTGAATTCGCTCCTTCCTAGCTAGGATCTCCAATTTCTTTTTGATCTCAAGCTGGTGGTGACGCTAAGCATACAGGAAAGAATGGAGGAAAAACTCACGTCAACCATAACAAAGATTTTTTTAGAGGGAAATAATCCCAGCAACTGACTATGTTCCCACTTACTCCCCCTTGTCACCGAGTGGAGGAGTCACCTGCCTAAGTGTGCAAGTGGGGATATAAATTGGTGCACCTCTTTGGAAAGCCGACTCCTAACCCAAACCGGTGAAAAGCGCCCCTACCCTTTGACCAGAACATTTCACTTCTGCACCTAGGAAGAAATCGGAATTAAAGGAAAACACATCTGCGTTATGCGCAGCGATGCTACCCGAGAGGACTGTGGCCTTCAAAGCGAAAATTCAGAAGTAATATAAACCTTGTCAAGAATAGTTAACTTTGGGGCACGGCCATATAGAGGAAATAGAATATAATCCTTCAAGTAAGATTCATAAAGATTTCGTTTTAAGGGGAAAAAATGGAAAATGCATGTAATACACGAAAAATGTAAAATTTGGAATTTGCACAGAAATACAAAAAAAATTGATCAACCTCCGTGCTGTGTGGCTGTCCCCGCGCCAGGAAGGCATGTCCTGTGGGTCATCTCTTCGTGAACAATGCTGACTGCTGAGAGGTCTCATTCTCCCAGTCGGGAAACTGAGGCAGAGGGCGATGAACTTGGGCCAGGTCACACATGTAGTCAGTGGTTGGAGCTGCCTTCTGAAGCTCACTCCGCTGCACCCCGACTTCCTGTTTGTCTGTTTGCTTTTTATTTATTTACTTACTTATTTTCACAAAACTGTGTCCTTTTCACAACACTGCATGTTTTTATTAACGTATAAATATGAACAGAGACTAAAGGGAAATGTGAGTATGACAACTCTGAGGAGAAAGGACTTATATGTGGTTCTGTTCTCCCCTTTTTGTTTTTTACTTTCTCCTGTTTGCCTAATCTTCTGTAATATCTTAATTATATAATTTAAAGGTAAACCTCATGTGAAAATAATGGACTTACAATCCTCTGAAACCATTCAGACACAGCCGGGGGCACTGTAAAGGGGTTTTTTTTATGTGTTCTTGGTCCCTTCCTGCTGCCTCTGGGACCTTGCCGACCCCATCTTTCTTGTCTTTTTGTTTGGTTGGTTTTTAAAGATTTTATTTATTTATTTATTTATTTATTTATTTATTTATTTATTTGAGAGAGAGAGAGACAGCAAGGGAGGGAGGGAGAGAGAGAGAGAGAGAGAGAGAGAGATTGAACAGAGAACATGACGCAGGGGAAGGAAGAGGCAGAGGCAGAGGAAGAAGCAGAGACCCCAGAGCAGGGAGCCTGACCTGGGCCCCATCCCAGGACCCAGGGGCTGTGACCTGAGCAAAGGCAGGGGCTTAACCCACTGAGACCCAAGGTGCCCCACAATATTGCAAACCTTCTACAGGCACCTACCTCTATTCTCTGCACCCTCCTTCCCTTACTCTAGGTCACCAGGGCTCTGTGCCCTCCTTCCGTTTCCCTAGGTCACCAGGACTCTGCACCCTCCTTCCCTTTCCCTAGGTCACCGGGCCTCTGCACCCTCCTTCCCTTTCCCTAGGTCACCAGGCCTTTGCACCCTCCTTCCCTTTCCCTAGGTCACCAGGCCTCTGCACCCTCCTTCCCTTTCCCTAGGTCACCAGGCCTCTGCACTCTCCTTCCCCTACCCTAGGTCACCAGGACTCTGTGCCCTCCTTCCCTTTCCCTAGGTCACCAGGTCTCTGCAACCTCCTTTCCTTTCCCTAGGTCACCAGGTCTCTGCAACCTCCTTTCCTTTCCCTAGGTCACCAGGCCTCTGCACCCTCCTTCCCTTTCTCTAGGTCACCAGGACTCTGCACCCTCCTTCCCTTTCTCTAGGTCACCAGGACTCTGCACCCTCCTTCCCTTTCTCTAGGTCACCGGACCTCTGCAACCTCATTCCCTCACCCTGGGTCACCAGGCCTCTGTGCCCTCCTTCCCTTTCCCTGGGTCACCAGGGCTCTGCACTCTCCTTCCCTTTCTCTAGGTCACCAGGCCTCTGCACCCTCCTTCCCTTTCTCTAGGTCACCAGGACTCTGCACCCTCCTTCCCTTTCTCTAGGTCACCGGGCCTCTGCAACCTCATTCCCTCACCCTGGGTCACCAGGCCTCTGTGCCCTCCTTCCCTTTCCCTTGGTCACCAGGGCTCTGCGCCCTCCTTCCCTTTCTCTAGGTCACCAGGCCTCTGCAACCTCATTCCCTTACCCTGGGTCACCAGGCCTCTGGCCTTCCTTCCCTTTCCCTGGGTCACCAGGGCTCTGTGCCCTCCTTCCCTTTCTCTAGGTCACCAGACCTCTGCAACCTCCTTCCTTTTCTCTAGGTCACCAGGCCTCTGAGCCCTCCTATGCTTTCCCTCGGTCACCAGGCCTCTGCACCCTCCTCCTCTTTCCCTAGGTCACCAGGCCTTTGCACCCTCCTTCCCTTACCCTGGGTCACCAGGCTCCTTGCCCTCCTTCCTTTTTCCTAGGTCACCAGGTTCCTCGCCCTCCTTCCCTTACCCTAAGTCACCAGGCTTCTATCTCCCCATTATTTCCCACTCCCCGGGCGTCCCTGTTCTCAAGCAACCCAGGACCTACCTGCATCTCCACTGCCCTGCACTGCTTTAGCCCCCACTTTGGCTCCCAGAAATATCTGGGAGGCGGCTGACATTTCCAGCATCCCTGGCCCACTGCTTACCCCCATCACCCTCCTTGGTTCCCCGTAGTGCCCCAGGATTGCCCCAACAGCCCCCCAGCAGTGCCCCCCACATCCCCCCAGCACTCCCCTTCTGGTCTATGGTGGCTCCTTCCACCCAGGCCCTGGTCACTGAGCCAGTGTCCCCCCCGTCCCCCCGGGATGCCCAGTGGTCCCCTCCCCCGGGCGGCCCTCCGTTGCTACCCTCCCACCTCCAGTCTCTCCAGCCCGTGGTCCAGGGCCCACACTGCCCCTGTGCGCTCCCAGCTCCCCACAGAGCAGAGCCAACCCGAGGGCCTCACAGCCCAGGTCCTGCCCGCTGGAACCACCCGCAAGCTCCAGCCTCAGTGGCTCCCCGCCAAGGGCATGTCCTTTCCTCTCTCACCTCGCCTGCCCCCCTCTTTCCAGCCCTTTCTCAGGCCTCCGGGTGACGCCTGGGCTCTCAGGCCCTGTGCACACAGCAGGACCTGGGCTCAGCCTCCCCATCTCAGCATCGCCTCCCTGCCCAGCTCAGTCTGCTTTTCCTCCCCTTGGAGCGTGTGATCGCTTTCCACGGTCGAGTTTTGCTTTGATTTTTGCTTTTTTGGGGGGCTTGGGGGTCTGACTTTCTGTTTCTGTATCTCACAGCTACAGCCCGGATCTTCATGCTGGTACCTGGTAAGCCCACAATTAAGGACAGATGTTTCTCATATGCACGAATGCGTGAATATTAATGTAACATTAGTAAGCAGCATGGGCAGGAGCCAAATGTGAGACAAATGTGACAATTTAGAGACAGCTGTTTCATTTGTTAATTATATTAATATATTACATATTACATTATATAAAATATTATATATTGCACATGAACACTTGCCCAAGGTATCTGCTCCAAACTTTAAGAACCCATGAAGACTCTTAAGTAACAACATACTTACTACTTATGATGTGTCAGTTGCAGGAAAGTCTGGAAAACCAGACTTCAGGGATCAAAGCTAATACAGAAACTTGGTTCCCGACCGGTTAAATTTGAAATTCGGTATGAATTAATCTGCTGCACTATTTTTTTAGCACCAGTCGCCAAATTCCAACTAAGACTTTTATAAGCAAGCGCACCGAGGCCCGTAACATAAACGATGATCCCACATAACTCACGCCCAAGATATAAAACATAAAATGAATTCCTAAAATTAACAGATCATATATGTCATATTGGAACGCAGGACTTGCTCAATATAAGGGTAGCATAATAAGATATATTTTCAGCGGCACTACCCTTAGTGGCGGTTTACTGGCGATTCCACAGTTGTTCATAAACGTTTACTGCACTCACAGGTCATTGGTTTTACCAGCCAAGTTTTCTGATTTACTGCTGTACGGCCAGGCCAAGAAGTGACATGCTTTTCCACGGAGATGAAAATGGTGTTGATGCTGGAAACGCTAAGTTCCATGGAGCAAGGCTAAAATAATTTATCGAGTTAGCTAGATATCCTACTAAAGATGCCATGTCAGACTTGGAAAAAAAAAAGTTGTTGATGCCTGGTTTATGAATCTATGCTGACCAACGCGGCCTAAAGTAGGAGGGACAGCAGATGTTTCGATGCCTCTTCCCTGAATTTTAGCATACGGCTCAGCTTCAGAGCCTTAAAAGAATAACAAATCTGAAATAATTCATGGCAGCGGAATTACTGATATTTAAACAGATGTCACTTTTTTTTTTTTAGCAAATGGAAATTGAGGTACAGATGGTGAGAGCTGGTATGTTTTAGAGTAGCCATTATGGATTAAAAATCTACATTTGTTAAATTAAATATCACAAAATATATAATGATGTCCATATTCCTCCCTAACTGAAATGGAGCAGAGCTTACTTCATTCGGTCCCCTGGCTCCCCGCTACCCAGAGGGATGTAGGGCATTTCTCAGGGCACCTGGTTCCATTCCTTTTTGACTAAATCCAGGAGGAATGCCTGTGCTTCTGGGTTCAGAAGCATGGTGAACTGTTGCATTAGAAAATACCCATCAAAAAGAAAGAAAGAAAGAAAGAAAGAAAGAAAGAAAGAAAGAAAGAAAGAAAGAAAGAAAGAAAGAAAGAAAAGTATCCATCATAAGGAGAATGTAGCTACTTTACCTCCATGTCCAGAACCTTATGGAAGATAGCCTGAGCTAGGCACTCCCGGATGTATTTCTGGTGATCCCTCTTCATGATATTGAGTCTGTATTCTTTTTCAGAAAGCACTCTCCCACTTCTCGTGATCTGTCAGGAATAAATGAAACACACATGGAAACACAAGGCAGAAAATGGGTTGTTTGTCACCAAAAAGGGAGAGACAATGAGCAAGAGCGACAGAGGTGGTGTCTTCTAAGCCTAAGAGATTACACCACGGTGGTTGGTCAACTTTCACGTTTAATGACTATTTCATAAGGAAGAAAATAATCGGTCTCCTACACCCATCAGCAAGAAAACACCCCCAGGTGGTCCCCTTGACATTTCAAACAAGGTTGTCATTAGAGTCACAACGTCTCCTTGATGGAACCCAGGTGTTCCTTTCTTTTCTTTTTCTGAACACGTTTGGGAAGAGGAGGTGGGGAGCTTCCTTGGAACAGTGAACCGCGGCCGTGATCGCAGGGCTGATGATCTCAGGGGAAATAACTTCGAAGGGCAAGACATGTAAGCTACGGAGAGGTTCTCCTCAGTTTAAGAATCATTGGTTTCAAAAGAAAAATAATAATTGGCTTCATTACTTGATCTTCACACTGCTGTCTCTCCTTCCACTCTCCAACCCAGAATGTAATTTGTCATGATTCAGATGTTTCTCAGATTACGCAGTGCTGCGGGTATCAGACCTTCCAGATGGATTTCAGTTGGCCTCACTGAAAATGCCAGGAATGGTAGTTTCTGTGTTTCTTTTTTTTTTTTCTTTAACTTACTTGTTTTTTTTTTTTTTTCTTTTCTTTTACTCCTTCTTCAGGGCATATTTGTTGTATTTTTTCTGTAGCTTCTATAAACAGAGGGTGTTATCCTTCCTGGATTGTTCATCTCCTTCCTTCCCACTTAATTATGCCCTGCTCTTTCAGGTCTAATCCAAGCCCCCATATTTCTTAATTTTGAGAACTTGTTGTATGACACTGTTGTGGCAACGTATCAGGAGAGTTATGTTGCAAGGGATTGGATACTGATGATCTTTTTTAAATCTTTTACATATCTTTTTTTTTTTTTTCCCAATGGAAGGAAAGGATATGGTTCCAGAAAGTGTTTCCAATCACAGATAACTCAGTTACAGTCTTTGGAATGTATTGTCCATGGGACATCGTGCCATTTGTTTCCAACTGAGAAAAAAAATGTTGAGAACATCTCGTATTGTGGCCCCCTCGCCAGTTAACAGGTATCATTGTCCTCACCCCTCTGGGAGATCTGCTCTCCCCAACTTAGTTCTTTTATTTTTTAAGATTTTATTTATTTATTCATGAGAGACACAGAGAGAGAGAGAGAGGCAGAGACACAGGCAGAGGGAGAAGCAGGCTCCACGCAGGGAGCCTCATGTGGGACTTGATCCCAGGTCTCCTGGATCACGCCCTGGGCCGAAGGCGGTGCTAAACTGCTGAGCCACCCGGGCTGCCCCCCAACTTAGTTCTTAAGTTCAAGTTCTTAAGCTTGAACTTGCATCAGACTCAGAAAACAAGTTGAAAAAGGGATTGGTGGGCCTCAACCCAGCAGCTTCTGACTCAGTAGCTCTGGGCTGGGGCTCTAAAATTTGCATTTTCTAACCAGTTCCCAAATGATGCTGAACGCTGCAGAGTCAGGGACTGTATCTGAACCACTGTTCTAGAGAAATCTTCCTTCTGTGAGTCGTCATGCACATAACCAACGTTCAAAAATGCTTGTTCATGATGTTGGTAAGTAAATACAAGGTCCTTCCCGTTTATGCACAAAGCTCGCAGATTGTTACCCAAAGAAATAATGTTAACAGTAACCACAAAAATTGCAATAAGCGTTAATAAACACATCTCTTATTGCCACGACGATCCTGAGGGCTGGGTGGCATTGTCTTCACTTAACAACTGAGGGCGCTGGAGCTGAGAAAGTGAAGTCCATGAATTGCTCAAGATTCTGTGACCTGTAAACTGGCAGAGCCAGGTTTCAGCCAGGTGTGTCTGAAAACCAAGCCCCAGGAGACAAAAAGCAAGCTCTCTGGAGATCCCCCAGCCAGAGGGCCCCCCACGTCAACAACCAACAACCCTTAGCAACGCAATGCATATCCTGTGGATGCCATGGCAACAATAGTTAAGGAAATCCACTGTGCTTTAAGAAGGTAAACAGCTAAAATCATTACTCACACTTTGTATAACCACACCCTTTTCTTTCAGTGGAAAACTATAGTCTTTTTTTAAGGGTTTTCACTTTAAATACATCTAGAGGCATGGAAATTCTGTGCAAATGATAGTTTTAGAGCTAAGGAAAGACACTAATGTTATCAATAAACTATCCAGGAAATTAAACAGGCTTTTAAAATTCAAGGGGGAAATTCTGAACTGTTCATGTCTTCCACACCATATTCTGTGATTATTAAAAATAATATATTTTTTCCCCCGAAGACAGTGAAGTCTTCTCTCTACGCTTAAATCCCTAACAGTTCCTGGCTCATACGATGTGTTCATTGACTATGTGTCGAATAAATGAATGAATAAACAAACAAGTAAAATATGCTTCTGGGAGCTCCTACGGTTTTTTTCTCAATAGTTTATAAGTAGCCTTAGCGGTCATTGTGACCTCTCTTCCTGTCTTTTGAGACAGAGCTTCAGAAAGATAAATCAGAGCTCTGGAAAAGAAGTAATTTTTCTAAAATGAGGGGGGCGGAGGGGGGATGTCGCTGATTAGCTCAAAAAGAAAAACCAGAAAAGGGAGAGAGGGCTAGAGGATTTAAGGAAACAAGAGGGCAGGTAGGAAATAAACCCAATCTTACCAGCCCCGATCTTAAGAGATGCCGCCTTATCCTTGTGTTGTTAAAATATCCAGTCAGGTGTTTATCGGTAAGACTATTATATGCTGCAAGTAATCTGGAAGAGAAAAGTGAAGCCATTAAGGTTTTATGAAGTGTCGCCTGATAGCCAGGGTGGCTCTAGATGTTCCCATCCCCAAACCACAGCTCAACCCAACCATTCACCCCTCGGGACACCCAGTCCTTCGCGTGCGTGTTCAATAAACAGGTATCGAGCACTTTTTGTTTTCCAGGTCTTGTGATAAGAACCGGGAGACAGTCCTGACGTGGTGTATTTTGCAGACAGGCATGGAAATCGGACACGAACAACTCGACTGGGGGTGAAAAATCCAACAAAGAAACATGCAAAACTCTTGGGGACACAGAGAAAGAGAGTACAAGCCCCGTGGTCAGGAAAGTCTTCAAAGAGGAAGCCTCGTGGAGAATGGGGAGCTCCTTCCGAGGACTCCTGCAGCCTCCTGCTTCACCCTAAATTCTTACACCCACTTCCTCCACAAACTCTTTCGCGTCTTCAGGACACGACGCACGGGCCCTCCACTGCCAAGGCCTCTCTCTGACCTGCTGGCTAGTGGATCTAAGACCCGAGATTCACAGTCATCTCGTCTCCCCGCAAACATTCCCCAGTGCCAACTGGGTGTGCTGTGTTCCCTTCCACTCCACCCCCTACAGCCTTCAGTCACATTACAGATCACACGAGACTGGAGGGCCAGGATCTTGGGTGACCCTCGGTATCCCCGTGCAGTTATTTACTGTAGACCCAAATACTGATGTGTTCAATAGGGGCACATGCAGTTTCGTCTGGGACTTACTCTTACGGGTATCAACTTCTAAGTTTAAGCTCGCAGCTTTGAAGTCTCCACGTCCACACACATCCGTATCTCCAGACAATTTCATAAATTCCACATCCAGAACTCCCCATCTTCCCTCCCCTCCAAAAATTCATAGATTACTTTTGATTTTTAGGGTCTTTTAAGAGTCAAAAGAAAACAAATTGGTTCTTGGATGGCAGGTTATCCTGTGGTAGGTGGTCCATCTGAGTCTATAGATCAAAGTTGGAAGCTATTTTTTTTAAAGTTTTAACTTGGCCTCTCCGCCGAGGGTATTACCTTACAAAGGCATATGCACATGCATTTACATGTATATATACATGTAGGCACATGTGTTCATCCATATACATAAATGTGAGTGTATTTACATACCTATGTATATACATAGAGAGGGAGAGGGAGAGATGAAGACAGAGAGACAGACAGGGAGAGAGAAGGACACAAAGAGGGAGGACACACAAGCCTAAACACAGCCCTAAAATAAGGCTGTCTCAAAAAAAAAAAAAAAGAAAGAAATGTATATACCATATTACTTGCAACAAAGATTTATACTCTGAAAAAAAAAACACAAAGATTTATAGTCTGTACATATTACGAGCAGTTGATCCTTAACTTATTTGGAGCCCAGAGCAGGGACTCATATTATACAGTCAAGTAAATGTCATTAGTGACAATTTTACGTGGCTGCCTTAATTACACGGAGATAGTACTGGTGACCTTTTCCTGTCTCTTTTCTCCTTAATGCCCATCTTTGGAAAGTTATATGCTGTCAAATGGTAAGGAAAGTTTAATTCTGGCCACAAAAGACACTGAAAGCAGTTACAAAGCCCAGAAGCGAAGATGCCACAGGAGGGTTGCCGACACATGAACAACTGTAGAAACCATTATTTCGCTGGGTTTATGTAAAAAGACAACCCGAGGGCTTCAGCAATGCACATACGGAACCAGCCCCAGATAATGCTTTGAAACCATCTTTTAAATGAACTGTCTTGGTGTCCTATAGTTCATCAAAGGTTTCCTGTCTCCAAAAGGTCAGCGCTGTATCCCTTACCCTTTCTGAATCTCAGAATATCTTTTCAGCAACTCATTTCAGAAAGGTGAGCAGGTGTCTCTCGGTCCTAACAATCATGATTCCACAGTTCACAGATTCTTAAGATAAATCATTAGACAGGTATCATATATAGTCTTTTGTCTGTTTTTCAGGCTCAGGTTTTTTAAAAAAAAAAAAAAAACCAATAGTTTCGGAATAGCTGTGAGGGCTAAAACCCTGATTAAATGAAATAGGGTCAAAAAGTTAGGATAACGTAAACTTTAACTTCCCCACTGACTGAAAATAATGTCCCTCTTTCAATTCAGAATTTGGAACTTTTTCAATATTTAGGTGCAGAGAATAAGGCTTAGGCAGCTTTGGCACCGGCTCGTCCGAATTCTGCTCTCTCAGGCTCCTACTAAGCGGGTGTGTCCCTGACCCCCTCCCGTCTTACCGAAAGGTCCAGGGGAGTTGAAACCTTTGACCACATCAGCTTTCTCACCTTTCCCCGTTTAGGAAAGGCCGAAAGTCCCTGGTGGGGATGCCATTTGTGAAGCAACTCTTTCCATGGCTACCATACACAACCGGCCTTGGAGGAGAAGCTGAAAAATAATAACTAGGGGGGGTCCACCTGGGGTCAGTCATTTCTTGCTCAGCAAGTGCCTATTTATTTATTTATTTATTTTAGTTGAAACTTTAACAGACTGATAATAAGAAATTGCACCCGAATAAATGATACACAGATTCAGTAAAACAGTTATTATGGCCTGAGTGTTCGTATGCCCCTAAAATCCGTGTGTTCACATCCTAACCCCTGGTGTGATGGCATTGGGGCTGGGGGGTCGGGAGGCGATCAGGTCGGGGTAGAGCCCTCAGGAACAGATCCGGGCCCTTGGGAAAGGAACCCCAGAGAGCTCCCTCGGCCCTTTCACCACTTTTCACTGCCCCCAACACACGCGCCCCTTTCCTGTCTTTCCTGCAGGCAGCAGAGCCCTGGGCCCGAGGGCGTCCACCCACCTGAGCGGGATGATTGTGTTGGCCACCGTGTTGCACCTGGAGCGCCCCACGCCCCCTGGGACTCACCGTCTGCTTCTCTGGTCAAAGCTGGACTTCGGCCCACTCTCATCCTGGCTCCTCCACCCTCCCTGGCTGCCGTCCAGAGGGCCACCGATTGCAATAGTCACAGCGATCACCAGGCCGCGGTGACCACAGCATTTGAAGGCCATGACGCTCGCACCAAGTCCCACCACCGAATGCCGAGACAGGCCTAACTCGGTGGCTTCTTTATCCGATGGACAAGACAGCTCACCTACCCCTGCTCTCTGGGTGGAGAACCACCCGCACTGTCTGGCTCAATGCACCGGAGAAGACAGTGCCCCAGGAAACAGGGCAACCCTGTCCCTAGATGGGCCCCGTTTCCTCCACTAAGATACACACATTCCCGCGGTGCGTAGGGATTAGAGGAGCAGGTTGTAGAGTCGCTGGGGGTGCTGCCTTCCCAGCTGCAGTCCTCAGCGCTCACCCCTCGAACCTGTGTAGGATGTGTAAATGGGGCCCTGAGGAGCAAAGTCGGTGATTCCTATCCATCCCTCCACCTGCCCCAAAGAGAATGTACCCCATAAAAACCCCATCTGGAAAGACAAGCACTCTAATATTATTAATTCCAACATTTATTGCACACTGACTATTTTCGGGGCATTCCGTTAGATCCTGGTGATCTAGAGATGGTGTGGACACCGCACCCACGGAGTTCCCAATCTAGTGGGGGAAGTATGCGTGGGTACACACAGTGTGCGTGCACGTGTGTGTGGGGTGGGGGGCATCCTTATTTCTTCCTGTGTCAGAGGCTGATTCCCTCACAAAGAAATAATGAGTGCTTAAGTGCCGCCAGGTCAGACAGTGAGCCCTAAGCTGGGCAAGGACTATAGTATCCCCATCCCATTAGCAGATTACACAGCCCCTCCTCACGCAGAGTCTCATTTGATTTCTTTTAGGCCCAGGAATGAAAGCTATTACAGATCTTCCATCTTCCTAAAATGGAAAAGCTCTAAAACAAGATTATCACTTACTGTGAGTCACTCATTGGAAAGCCTGACGTAGGAAACCCTTCTTCGTGATCACAGGGATAGAAGAATTCCCTCTGGCCTTAGCACTCTTGAACCTCACCCCCCTCCCAGCACTGCCTGTTCCCACACTGTCCCACTACCCTTAGTGGGAGAGACAGAGGGAGCGGTTAAGACCCCAGCTACACTTCAGTCCTGGCTTCACCGTTGCTGGCTCCATGCCTGGGAGCAAGTGACTGAACTGCCTCGAGTGTCCTCCGTTCCACAAAACACTAGAACATGAACACGACTCAGCCAAGTTCTTTGCCACTTTATAACGAAGGCAGCTTTTCCTCAAATTTCCAATAACATGTTTCTCATTTCTGTCTCGGACCTCATTGGAATGACCTTCACCAGCCACATTTCTAGCCAACAATAATACGTGATTATTTATGTGTTCTCTAAGAAGGAAGCCCTCTCTCCAGCTCCCTTTTCTTTTTGAGCTCTCACCAGAATCACAAGAAAATCCCTTCACAAGAAAATATTTGCAAGCCATATGTCTGATGGGGTTAATATCCAAAATATACAAGGAACTCATACAGCTCAATAGCAAACAATAATAATAATAACACTAATCTAATTAAAATGAGCAGAAGACCTAAATAGACATTTTTTTCCAAAAAAAAAATTATACAAATGGCCAACAGGTATGTGAAGGGATATTCAACTAATCATCAGGGTAATGGAAATCAAAACCACAATGAGGTATCACCTCACCTGTGTTAGGATGGTTATTCTCAAAAAGAGGGGCCCCTTGTGCACTCCTGGTGGTACGGTAAGTTGGTACAACCAGTATGGAAACAGTATGGGGGTTTCTCCAAAAATTAAAAATAGAATTCCCATAGGATCCAGCAATCTCACTTCTGGAAATATATCCAAAAGAAGTGAAATTCATGATCTTGAAGAGATATCTGCCCCCCCCCCATGTTCATTGCAACATTATTCATAATAGCCAAGCCCTGGAAGCCATCTGAGTGTCCATCAATGGATAAATGGATAAAGAAAATGTGGTGACTATACATACAATGGGATATTATTCAGCATTAAAAAAAGGGAAATCCTGCCATTTGCAATAACATGGATGGATCTTAGAGCATTCTACTAAGGTAATGAAATATGTCAGAGAAAGACAAATACTGTGCAATCTCACTTATATGGGAATTTTTATTTAAATGAACTAACAGAAATACTGAGTGATGGTTGCCAGGAGAGAAATGAAGAGATGTTGGTGAGAGGGTACAAATTTCCAGTTACAAGATGAGTTAGTTCCTGGGGATCTAATGTACAGCACGGTGACTGCAGTTAACAATGTATTGTATACTTGGAGGTTGCCAAGAAATTAGATCTTTAAAAAAGTAATTATGCGAGGTGATGAATGTGTTAAGGAGCCTTGTTGTGGCAATCATTTTGCAATAGAAACATACATCAAATCATCATGTGGTCCACCTTAACCTTTCACGATGTCATATATCAATGACAGCTCAGCAAAGCTGGAAAAAAAAAAAAGCTTTTGCATCACACAACTTTTCCAGTCACTACCCCATCACCAGTTCCAAACCTGCTTCCACATTTTCAGGTATTTGTCACAGCAGCATTCCACTTCTTGGTGCCCATTCCCATCTTAGTCTGTGCAGGCTCTGTAAAACGGACTGGGTGGC